TTCCAACGGCTCAGGGATACCCTTTTTTTTTTTTTTTCTTTTTTTCTTTTTTTTTATTCTTTCATTTTTCCTTTCCACTCTTGCTTTTCCTTTCTATCTTTCCTTCTTTTTTCTTTTTTTCTCCTTATCTTCTTTTGTTTCCTCCCCTCGAGAATTATCAATACAGAGAGTCGAGTGATTGTCGAGTTCAACTATACATTATAGTACTCGTTAAGATCTGGAGGCTTAATTAGAAAGGGGGGTAGGGGATAAGGGGACTACTACACGAGTCTAACACGCTAAGTCGTGTGTACACTGTGAACGTTTAAATGTAAATGTTTTTTTTTTTTTGCATGTATGCGTTTTGTTTCCTTGTATTTTGTCATGTCTGTGTCGTATGTTGTGTCACGCTTTGTTTTTTATTCTTTTTAAATCTTTTTCTTTTTTTGTTTCGTCCACTTAACAGCTAACCTTAGATAATTCTTTAATGCTCTGTGTCTCGCGACTGAACGCTCCTCTCCCAAAGCAAGGATCATCGAGATCGTTACTTTCTCTCTATTTTCTTTTTTTTTTTTTTTTTTCGTTTTTTTTTTTTTTTTTTTTTTTTTTTTTTTTTTTCGTTTTTTTTCTATTCTTTTTTTTTTTTTTCTTTTTTTTCGAAATTCGATGGGGTCGTCGAGAAACTCTTCGCGTTTTAATTAATTAGGCTCAGTTTTCCGCTTTCTCTTCCCTACAGCTGTGTGCTACTTTCATGCGCTCTTTAATATTCTTCTCTCTCTCTTTTTTTTTTTTGTTTTTCTATTTTTATCTTTCTTTTTCTTTTTCGTCGCGTTTTGGCAATTATTATTATTCGACGTTACGATCGTAACGACCAATTAACGATATAACCGGATAGATAGAAGCCCGGTTAACCGATATTTTTGTCCGGAAAACCGATATTCTATCACGTTTCTTCCCTGACGAGCCTTTTTAACGTCAATTACAGCGACCGTGGAAGAGAAAAGCAGGCAAGAAGATTACAGAATCACTCAACAGGCACACCAAATCGCTATCCTGATCGAAATCTAATTCGAGGCATCACTATACCTCTTGGAAAACGAGAGAGAAAAAAAAAAAAAAAAAAAAAAAAAAAAAAAAAAAAAAAGAAAAAAAAAAGAGAAAACGTTGGATCGATGCCCAAAGCACGATGTGTGTCTTTTCGAAGGAAAAGCACAATGATATGTTGTCGACAGAGAAATTTTTTTTTAAAAATCATAGAAGAGGAGAAGAGATGCAGAAGAAGATCACTCGAGATAAACATACTTTCGAATCGGTCCAACGTCTCTTCAACGATTCTCTATTTCTTCTTTGCTAAATTGGTTATAGTGATCCTCTTTTCATCGTCATTTATTTAATTCGTGTAACAGCCATCGTGGAGAAAAGCTTGCTCGAATAGCGTGAAATATCGTCCCTTTCTTCCCCTATCATTCTCTCCTTTTTTTTTCTTTTATGGGCGAAGAATAATCGAACAAACAGCTGGTTCCCTTGAATTCTGGTGTGAACGACGCCTAAGGCCCCGATTAGGCATACAAACCACCGTACTACGTTGATCCTGAACTTTCAACAGGAGGATTACACACATACATATTATCATCATACTTATCTCTCGGATATTCCCTGGATTGTGCTCATTCGCTCGCTTCCATTCACTCTGTCTCTCTCGTGTTCACGAGTTCTCTATCTCTCTTTCTCTTTCGTTCTTTCGGTTCGTCGTGCTCAGATCATCGTGTCTCTAATTTATATAATATTTATATATATATATATGTATATGTACCGCGTGTGTCACGACGTAAGATTCGTAATAGATTAATTTTTTTTTTTTCTCTCTCTGCTAGCTCTCGATTACCATAAACCGTTAACGTCGATAATCCTAAGTCCTTATCAGTTATTAATAAAATATAGATTATTGGGATGTAGCCGCTGCGCACTTTTGGACACACCTGTTACATTGCGATATATCAAATATATATATTATGTATTATATTGAAGTTTGCTTGAGTGTGTTTCAGTGTGTTTGAGGATGTTTGAAGATGTAATGCAGGGTGTATAACATAGTGTGCGATGGTTTGTCCGTGTTTGCGTGGGTGTTTGCAATTATGTGAAAGTACAGATACCACGTGTTGCCGGGAAAAAGTCTTTTGGAGATAAAAGGAAGTGCCATTTTGTTTACCTTTCCTCGCCCCTATAAACGCAATGCTATAAGATCTTATTTGTAAGTAGAAGTAAGGTGTCAGACTTTTTTGGCCCAATACGTATCCCTATTTTTATGATTGTATTTGGTCTATGAGAAGATAACCAATGAAACCCGCATTCCATTTCAAAGGCCTTCTTCCGAGCAATACGTAGCATCGTGTCCCTTGTTTTAATTATTTACTCCTAATAACCTCTGTAGACACTAAAGCCTTGTCTACTGCGTGGCTCGAACCAGACCCCGAATTTCCTTGGTCCGCACAGGTTTTTGGTTTTTAACAGGTTTTTTTCAACGCTTTTAACATTGGGAGTTTCACTTAAAATTTTGGATCACCTTGGGTCCCCTTCTCATTGATCGCGGTTTCTGCAGGTTGCTTAATTGTGATTCTTGTTAGATGTTGCTCTTCGAGAATGACACTCTGAGGTGATTGGACTCGCTTAACTGGTAATTGTGCATTTTCTGCAATAGATGAACAATTTTTGTTAGTGCTGTAAAGAAGAAAGATCGAGTAAAGAAGTGATTTTGAATAAGGATGACCCTTGAAGACTATTAATCTAATGCATTTTTTAATTTTACTAATTTCTTAAATTTTAATGGAAAATATATTTTATTTATATTTTCTTCTAAATTAAATTTACCAATAAATTAATCTATTGAGTTGTTTCATATAATTGAAGATCGAATGATCACATATGTGAATTATGACGCGAAAAAGAATATATTATTTTTAAAATAAATTATATTATTAAATTCAATAATAAATGTTATATTTGAATTTTATTTTTGCATTCAATTTTAATTCTTCTAAAAATATACAATTTGTTACGCAGAAAATAATATTATTCCGTTTTATTATAAAAAAAAATATATTTTTTTAACATTATTTACAATATTCTGATACAGTATTCCATCAGTATCAGAATCACATATTTATATATATTTCAGTATCAATTTTTTTAATTACAATATTCCGAATATTTTTATCATTTTCGTTGAGCCATCCATATTTATATTTCCATGCGAGTGACAATACTAATAAAATAATTCATTACCTTTACAATGTGTTTTTGATTTCATTGCACAATGAAAAGATATTCAATAAACCCTCACGATAATATTCATATTTAATGTACAAAAGATTAATTATCTTGGTTGGAACAAAACTAGAAACAGGCACGGATGAATCGTGGAAAATGATGAACAATGATTATTTTATGACGAGTAAAACGATTTAATTTCGAGCAGGCGTAATGCAGATTTGTTATTTATAATTCCGCTCAATTGTATCAAAGGCAAACAATGCCAGGCGCCAATGACTAAACTAATTACGTCTCTCTGATGAATTTTCACATGGTAAATAATAAACGCGTTATAAATTCACCTTAGCCTCGTCAACGCTGGTTCAGCACGAAACAAAACGAGAATTACAAATATAATTCGAATGAAGCATTAAATCGATCGAACTTTTATGTAATTTCGAATTTAGATTATTATTATATCAATATATATATATATAATAACAATCGTTGGAAATTTCAAAATTAGGAAGATCAAGTGTATTAAAAAAAAAAATAATAATAATAATATAATAAAAAAATTAAATCAAAGAGGACACTTACGATCAAAGCAGCTACAGCATCGTCCATGCTTGGCATCTGTATAAGCGCCATCTTTCTGTCTTTCGGGAAGAACTTGAATGCCTTCACGGTGAAGCCATTTTTGGTGAATGCATCCCTGATCTCCTCTTCGGTCACAGTTGTACTGAAAACACGAAAAATATTTCAATACCTCAAGTATTAATTATAAAATATTTCAATTATTATTTTTGTAGTAAATAATCTTTATTTACTATATACAATTATCATGAAAATTAAAGATAGATTTAAAGATAATATTAATATATTATTATATATTAATATTTAAAGACAGATTTTTGCTTACGGAATATTTGATAAATGCAGAGTGGAACTTGGTGGATAAATGTTCTGATAATTCTTCGAGCCTGGTTTCTTGAACCGATGAAGAGGACTATTGGTGTAATCTTTCGTCAATCCAGCGTCTGGTTGGCCCTCCTTCGGTAACTGAACCGTCTGATGCTTGCTGAGCATTACCTTGATCTGCTTGCCAAATACTCGCAATTTGTCCATGTGCGTCAGTGCTTTAAAATTTAAAATTTAAAATTATCGAAACATTTTCTTAACGATTGGATAACAAATTTTCCTAATTCTTTATAATATATAAATAATCATTGAATCGTTGATATCGATCAAAATATCGATATTTTAATAAAAAAGATTTTTTTAAAACTTTTACACAAAAGAAAAAATAATTTTCATTGAAAAAGTTTGACAATCTTTTCATAAAATTTCTTCTTCGATCATTGATTCACGAAATATCGCGAAAGATCATCAATAAAGAGAAATAATAAAAAAAAAAAACTCTATTTCAAGAAAAAAAAATGCAAATTATGGAAAAGATAATTACCTAAGTGCGCCTGATGCGGTTCGGCCATCTGAATCAGTGCCGAGTCCTTCTTGTTGTAGAGAATCTTCACACGCTGTACATCCCCGTAAACGCCTACATGCACAACACGCAACACATCATTTTAATCAGCCCCTCATCATTAACAATCGCGGGCGTCTAAAGATTATCGAGTCGAAGAAACAGGACAATAATAATAATAAC